AGGTAAGCCTTTGTGTCATTATTCCCCAAATTTCATTAACTCTTAAGGTGCTAAATTCTGGGAACTCGCAACTTTAAGGAGCTCAATTTAATTAAACCTTTCGGATGTCACCATTGTATGTCATAAAGACCACATTTTGGCTCACCTTCACTGGTTGCTGACATAGTCAAAAAGTATATTACCTCACTGACATTGATGCAGTTTCTGTCCATATAGTCCTTGTCATTCACTTGTCCACCTTCCATGAACTCCATGAAAAGAACACGTCTTGTTGAAAGCTCCCAATAAATTTTTGGAACCTATAATAGAGGACTCTTAAGACTCTGAAGGATATTAAGGGAAGCAAAGGAAGCTAAAACTATACAAACCATCTTTTTTTTAGCATGAGATGGGATTGAGCAGAAATTAACCTTTCTTCATCCACTGAGGAGTAGCTATAGGAAATAGTTAAGACAGTTCAGGACTGGAAATATTTCACTAACAGTAATTGTAAAAAAAAAAAAAAAATACCCACCAGTTATAAAATACTGAATATTCCCAGCCAAAGACCATTCTGTAAATATATTGAAGTTTCAGTAACTTGGATTCCAATTCAGATCTGCCTTGGACAACCTAAGTTCAATGGTGCAGCATCTGTTCTGCATGTGTAATACCTCACTTCTGCGCATAGCATCCTCTGTATGAAGAATCCAGGACTTGGGCTCAAAAACTGGCAAATTTCTTAGTCAAAGAAAATATTAGTGGCCAAGATGGACAGTGACAACTCACTTAAAGGTTGGATTAATATGACGCATTGGGATAACATGTAATTGTTTAGTCATAGGCCCACTATATTATAGTTACTTTATAATTTAGTGGTCTAGTAAGATCTGATGCAATTGGGTTAATACAGTTCACTTAGCCACAGAAGAGCATCTTTTATGAACACTTCTATCATAATCACTAACATTACTAGTAATTTCTGAGATGGGTGGTTGAAAATGTGAAAAATAAATAAAATATCATATGGACTATATTACATGGAAGTATATATTTGTAAGGGACTGTCAAGGGCAACCTCTTGCTCATTGCAAAAATGTAAATTAAAACATTTCTGATAGATGGCTGCCTAGAGAAGGACAGCCCACCTCTTCATTTACCTGTTAAATTGTTCTTCTGGTTAGAAAGTTTTCCTAACATTCAACTTGAATCTGCTTTTCTGAAACTACATCCTTTATCACATGCCTTGCATTTTGGAAGGAGAGAAAAAAGTTCTTGATTTTCTTCTGAATGTCACTCCTTGAAAAGTGAATCTCCTTGTGTCATTTTTTCCTCAAGGTTAAACAGGCCTAGTTCTATCACATTCACCAGGGCACGATATTATCACAACCATTTATCGGTTTATTTACGGCAGCTGTTAATCAGCAGTCACGTCACAGGCATTTTGGGAGTTTAGCTCTTCTGTTTGTATCAAAGACAGAAGAACCATCTCTCTTTTGCACCATCCTTAACATGGTGATCTAAAAAATTAGCCATCATACTTTTGCCTTACAGCTCCTTTTGTGTGAAGACCAGAGGTGGTATTCAGCCGGTTCTCTTCAGTTTGGGCAAACTGATAGTGGTGACTGTGGAAGGCTCCGGCCACCTGCCCTTATGTAATGGCTGACTTTCTGCATGCACAGAAGGTTGCACATGCGCGCTCACATTTGCGAACCAGTAGGGAAGGTAAGTGAATCCCACTGCTGGTGCAGACACTAGGTAGACATGCTTCTAGCTTCCAGGCTATTATATTACCATTGGCAGAGAGCAGCAAACAACAACATTTTGCAAATAGGAGGTTTCTTGGGAAACCAATAAGCCCCTCTCTGAAAATACAATGTCTTTTTTAAGTGTTACTGGAACATCTTTCAACAATTAAAAAAATCCCCCAACCAATAAAGCAAGCAAAAACATCTCTTCTATCCTACTGACAAACAAAAACCTATTGTCAGAAAGCTGAAAAACTTTCTGTTGAAGTATCTCTTTTAGAATGGGAGAATGAAATACTGTCAAAACTACATTTTCAATTTTAATATATTATTGCTATCATTAGCTCATCATGTGAGCTATCAGAATAAATTGAACTGTAGTAATATTAGCAACATTAGAATTACTAGAATATGTTTAAATTAGATAGTCAAACAATATTTTTACAGCTTCATTTCATTTCATTTATTTGACATTTATAGGCCACCCTTTTCCCTGAGGGGACTCAGGGCGGCTTACAATTTGTAGGAAGGGAGTGCAAGACAAAACACAAAAAGAAAATGTGAAATATAATAAAATAAAACAATAAAACACAACATTCATTCAGCATTCGGGTGGGGCGAGATTAAGGTCTTATCCCCAGGCCTGACGGGATAGCCAGATCTTGAGGGCTGTGCGGAAGGTCTGGACGGTGGTGAGGGTACGAATCTCCACGGGGAGATCGTTCCAAAGCGTCGGAGCTGCTACTGAGAAGGCTCTCCTCCGCGTAGCAGAGCACTGACTGGCGGATGGAATTCAGAGGAGGCCTACTCTATGCAATCTGATGGGACGAAGGGAGCTTGTTGGTAGAAGTTTCAAATGTTTCCAAATACATAACATTTTAAAAGGGTTAGGTTGAAACTGTGACTTTGGTATAAATACTTTATGGATCCCAGACTCATAATGAAAACTTTTTGTTGGTAACCTGTATATATGCAATTATCTGAATAACAGTGAGGCATTTGGGTCTTTTATATTTTAGGCATTTTAAATTTCACATGCATACAAAATATAATATGTTATATGCACATTAATACAGAATATGTGTTCTTTAAAGCACATTACTTACACATGCCTCTATTAAATAAATCCTATTGAGAGTTCAGTGGGTTTTATGCACCCTTAAAGAAATCGGAAATTTAAAGACTGAGAAAGAAGAAAGAACCACATAGTTTTCAGTTCAGAAGTTGGGTTTTGTTTTGTTAATGATTGGTGATAAAATGTGGCTCTAAAATTGCAGAAATGATAAATCTGTAAGCTAGATTTTTTCCATTTTAATCTCCAAACTGTTTCACAGAAAATTTCCAGAACCACTACAGCAGGGGTGTCAAACTTGGGTCATCACGGTGTCGTCACGTGACATATCGGGACTTTTTTCTCCTTTGCTAAACTGGGCATGGGTGTGGCCAGCACGTGGGCGTGGCCAGCACGTGACACATCCAGGCAAGTTTGACAGCCCTGCTCTACAATAAATCCAATAATGCCACATACATTTAGCATAATGTATGTGGAGCCATGTGGCGCAGTGGTTAGAATGCAGTAGTGCAGGCTAACTCTACCTACTGCCAAGAGTTCGACCCTGACTCAAGGTTGACTCAAGCTGTCCATCTTTTCAAGGTCGATAAAATGAAAAGCCAAATTGTCGGGGGAAATATGCCAACATTGTAAACTTCTCAGAGTGTGCTGTAAAGCATTGTATAGAGGTATATAAATCTAAGGGCTATTTCTGTTGCTGTAATTCAGAGGATATAAAGAAAGGTAAGGACCTTTTTCTTCTAACCTTGCTTAGAATTATCTCTAAATTCCCTTTTCACTCAAAAAAACTGTACATCCTGATTTCTGATGCTAACAGTTCTTTTAAAAAAATCCTGATGTTACTATACACTGGCCCTTAAATCCACTGATTCAAAAGCCATTGCTTATTTTAATCCTAAATCAACACTTATCCTCATTTCAAAATTGACAACAACAGCCAATGGCTCTTACTAAGCCTTGTAAGTCTCAGTTGCACAGTCTTTGGCAAGCTTAAATTATGCACAGACTTTGGGCCCTAATGCCTGTGCATGGAAACAATTTATCTTTGGCTTTACAAGCTTAACTGGGTTCACAGTGAGAAATCTACTTCCCCGCTGTGCCGTAGGGTTCCCCATCCCTCAAGGAAAAAAATATTACACAGTACCACAACTCCTTTGCTGTCTTTAGTGTTGATGAAAATGTCTTGGAATCGACAAATTGGACAGGAAAAATCTATTATTAAGCCATTTTTGCAATAATTTGTTATTGTTCCCTGAATCAATACTGCAACGGCTCTTTCACCCAGCAAGGATGTGATTGGTGGTCTCCATGGGGATTTGTTTCACACTCTCCAAGTTGTTACAGCAGCTATGGACATAGGCGTAACATTTGTGATAAACATTCACTTAAAAAGAGCCATCAGCTTTCAGCCCTTTAAAGGCCTCTTTGCTTCAGCATTTGACCTGGAAAAGACTGAGCATTCCCAGGCCTTGTTCAAGACTGAAAATGGCTGGGTCATATATACAGGTTGAGAAAGACAAGGTAACTCTATCCAGGCTTTTTCAGATGATTACTATCTGGAACAAATAGTTAGNGTATACATATATATTAGAATGATGATATGAGTCTTTATGTAAATTGCAAGTGAAGTGTATTGTGAGAAAGCACAAAAGTTTTGTAACCAATCGACAAACTGTAAGTAATTAGAGGAGGATTTTTATTTTGTGTGTGTTTATGTCTGTATGTTTTATGCTTGCCTAAAAATAAAAACTTTTTTATAATAAACAAGAAATAGAAGAGCATGGAGAATAGTGAGAGGACCAGCAAGTTAGAAGATCAAAGCAAACTGGCATACAGTATTAACATATCAACAAAAGCCAATGGTAGCAGTGATAAATCAGAGGCCATTGTGGAGGGGTTTAAAGGTTTACAGAGTTTCTTAATCTCCTGAATATTGGTTGTCTGGTTATGGTTTAAATAAAATGCTCAGATAAAAGTTATGCAATCATAAAGCTTGAAAATGCAAACCATCTCTATTCTATATTTGATTACACACATATACTTAGATATAGTATACACTACTTCTCTTTCAGACACCAGTTGAAACATATGCAGTTTATTTTTTGAAACATTTTAAAACGCTAAAGCCATCTCTACTGAAATAAAAGAATCATAATAAGAATAACAGAAAGCGTAGTTGTCACAGAAAGCTACTGATCTACCTCCATCAGTAGAATATCCTTAGAACTCTGTGCTTGGACCTTAGGATGTTGAACCTTCACAGCAACTGTCCTCCCATCTTGTAGCACAGCCTTGTGGACTTGGGCCAACGATGCTGCCCCCAATGGAACATCTTCAAAACTGGCAAACAATTCATTGATCTACAAGGAGAAAAGATATCTCAGATTTGCTGATGCTTAGGTTGCCCAATATTTTAGCCCTTGAAGTTCTGCAGTAATCAAGAATAAAATACAACAATATAACATACTATTTTAATATTTAGGAAAAAAACTGTCACTGAGAAAATTGAAGAATTCATGCAGAAAACCTGTCCAAACCATGTAGTTTCTCCATACACTGAACCATAATTAAGAAGCTTGGCTGTTAAGAAACAATAGAGAAATGTATAGAACTATAAATGAATGTATATAAATATAGAAGCAATATAAGACTGATACATACAGGTATGATGACACAACAATGTTAATGTGATGATTGTAAGTTGTTATAAATAGAGAAAACAATAAAAAATTGATAAAAAAGAAACTTGGCTATTTAATTAAATACTTTTTACATTTAACTTTCTCAACAGTAACTGGAAGTAGCTGTACGCTGAAACGTTTTAGTATGACATACACATTCTAGCAATGGTGAGCTGCACAGCAAAACTAATATTACAAGCCCTTCATCCTTATTTACTCCATGAAAATGAGATTTAACCCCGTTAAATTAATTTTACTTTCTACAATAACATTTCTCTGTTGCTCTTTTACTCAGGAAGGTCTACCTTGAGATCAGTCACTTCAGCCATGGAGAATTGAAGTCTTTTCTCACTGTTTTAGAACATTATCATTTCAGATACCAGATGAACCTTGGCTAGCAAGGATAATCTCTTCCATTAGGCAACAACCAACCAGGTTTACTACAAAATGGTCCTTAATCAGCGGGCTGAAAATCATAGTAATAACACTCAGTTTTCTTTGTAATCACACTTTGTGCAGCTAGAATTACTGTTAACACAAATGTCACGTGTTTTTTGCTAGTTAAAATAATGTGCAAACCTCTAAGAGAAAGCTTAAAAAGGAGACAGATTCACAGAGAATGCAACTATCCCAGTGGTGGAATTCAAATTTTTTTACTACCGGTTCTGTGGGCGTGGCTTGGTGGGAGTTGCAGGGAAAGGATATCGCAAAATCTATATTCCCACCATACTATGGGGCCAGACAGAGGTGATATTTACCGCTTCTCCGAACTACTCAACTTTCTGCTACCGGTTCTCCAGAACCTGTCAGAACCTGCTGAATTTCACCTCTGAAGTAGCCACTGTATGCCTCTATGCCTCTGAAAATTGACTAGGTTCTCTGCTTTCCGAAGAAATATAAAAAAGACACTGCTAATTTAAATTTAGAAACATGTAGTGGTTTTTAATGTGGCTAGGATAGATGGTATTGTTTTAATATGTATATTTCTTGTACACTGACCTGGTAAGACACAGGTGACAAAGCAATTCTAAAAAGAAATAAATCAAATAGATATAACCTGCTTGTGATCTTTCCATGTGTATTTATTTGGTTGTTATAAAAACCAAACACAGGTATGATCCAGCAATGCTGTTCTTACATTAGCAGGGTATTTGTCTTTTCACTAATTGACTGTGTTCATATATAACCATAAACCAATATTTTAAAATCATAATTTGCTAAATAAGTGTTAATGGACATAGCAGTTTAACTGGTAGGGCTCATAACCACACTGAGCAAGAATTAAGAAGATCACATGATGGCTTAGTACACTTTATGAGACCAGAATATGCCTCACATTGTGCTAAGTTACTGTGTGGCTGATTTTGAGTAAGTGTACTCTGTGAACCTAATCAATTATGGTTTATTTAGTAATTAAACCAAACATGGTTTAGTTTGATAATTCACCTGACCCTAATTAAGCATAACATTCAACCACTGCATATATTCATAGTTCTGTGTTATCTAAAATTCCATTCAATGAACAATGGAACAGACAGTGAAAAGCTAGATAGATGAAAAGCCAAATATTTGCAGCCCAGACTTGCCAGATCTGGGCTGCAAATATTTGGACAACCATGAAATGGAAGCAAATCTAAACTCTTTCCTGCCGTCTAGCAACTGTCTAGATTTTTTGCTGTTCAGTTAGGGGACTCCTAAGAAGAAGATTATCCAAACAAATGCATGTGGGAATTGGACTAATCAGAGAGCATGGAGAGAAAATGCAGGAATTTTCCATTGAAGGTTCAACCTTACAATTGGGATTGGCTTCAAAGCTATCTTGAATCCTCCGAGGTTTGACCAAGCTTGTTTAAAAATCGGGCAGCAGATTTGAAAGAAAGAAGGTTGTTTTCTTTTCCTCTACTTATCTCATATGCACGCATACATATATGCATATACATAGCCACATTCAAACTCATATAACAGAGCCAAGGAGTACATTATATATGCAGAAATTAAAAGAAAACAAATTGAATGTGAGTGCATTTTATAGCCTACTTTTTAACACAGTAATTAAAGAAGGGAACTGTAGCAAGCCAGCAATTAAATATGAATAAAACACTTTTAAGCAGCCTACATGCAAAGCATCCAACAGAAACCTTTTGTGTTGATGAAAGGGAGGAAAAGAAGCAACCCAGGCCTACATGCAGCTGCTGACAGCAGCTTTCCCTCCTCCTCCTCCTCCTCCTCCTCCTCCCGGCAAGCACACAGACACACCACTTTTTACCTCGGCCACCCCCTTCTCCATTGCTTCCACAATAAATATTACCAGCAGCAAACTAGCACATTTGCAGCAATTAGATTCCCATGGAGTCTCAGCTGCCTCCAGTAATTCACAAGGAGGGCACCTTTTAATTTTTATTTATTTATTTTAATTTTTCTGCCAGCAAAATCAATTAAATAGAACAACTGCATTTGAAAAGAACTAGTTACATATTTTTTCATAATTACAGTGGATGCATGATTCATCCTTTTGACATCCTTGCTGCAAGAAAAATCGTCTTCCTTTTATATATTTCACAAGATATTAAGATTACATTTTTGTTCCCCACTCTATTAAACTCAAGTCAATGTTTAGTCACAGGTCAGATGGCTTGGAGAAATTACTATCACTCAAACAACTATACTTGAATAGAGGTTTATATATCATGCAGAAACATAGCTTGGCATGATAGATACACTAAACCACAAAGTAGTCTACATATTTTAGTCTAACATGGCATCATATTCTACCCACATAGTTAGTGTACACAGTATGGCAGTTCTTCCAAGCCTGGTTGAAATATAGCTCCTATAGCAATTACAGTATTTAGAACTAATACAAAACAAATTATAGCTTGGTGGATCCAATCAGTCTCTGAAAATTCTTTTAGGAAACCTAAAAGAATATAGTATGTCAGTCAGTCATAAGAAAGGCCATTGGGAAATGTAGTCTTCAAAATCCAATGATCATTACAACTTGCTACATGCTAAATGAGATTTATTGCTAAAAGGACTGATTTCACATCCCTCAAACTGCATCTTTGAGCTATGTCACATTCCAACATCCATACTACATCTGCCTACATGTCACTGCTAAGCCTTATGATCTTTGGGTCTAAGACTCCATAGCATCACCTTATTATAACTGGCCTTTAGCCACGCAACTATTTATCTGCCCCAGTGTAACCTAGGCTATTATGTCTGGGGGTGCAAAGATCTACATGACCGCTAGATGGTGGGAAAGAAATGCATTTAAGTCTAAGTCTTTGCTGCTACTTATGGCCATGCAAAATAATGCAGCCCAACTATAGAGCCCTTATTCTACTGCCAGATTGGTTTTAAGCTGTTGAGATGTGTGGAAACATTTACCTCATTGAATATTGAAATTCAATCTGCACAGCCATATAATTTACATTATAACATTTTTCACTGCTGAGACTGATTTTTAATCAGGCAAATAATATATGTAAAGACAGAAATAATGTTTATAATAATCATGATGAGAGTAGCAATACATATTGGGCTGAAATTTGAATCAGTAAAACTCTTCACTTTAGGCATGCATATATTTAGACATTTTATGAGGATGAGAAGAGATAGTAAGTCAATGGCACTGATATGCTTTGCCTAAAAAAGATGCAGCTCCAATACCTGTCACCTTTAGTAAAAAGATCAGGTAGCAGGTGAAGGAAAGGAAACTTGGCCAGAAACTAAGCAAGGCCACTGCCAGTTGCAACAGATTGGTCATGAGGCAATTGCTCTAGAAGGAAAGCTATGTTTGACTCATAGCAAAAACAACAGTCTTGTGGCATATTAAAGTTATAATACAGCAGAACATTTTAAACTGTATTCCACAAAACCCTACATGGAGAAAAAAAAAAGTTCACTCAAATACAGGAATGATATTTACAGTGGTAAGGTCAAGACCTGTCAGCTTCAGACGCCCCCTCCCCAGATATTTGTGCTCCTGATGACCAACAGTTTTTCAGAGGTGACAGAGGCAGCAAAGTAAAAAGGAAGGACACAATTTTTACTTAATAGAATATTTCCACTGGTAGCTCTCTCTACCTCTTGATCCACAGTTCTTTTTTAGAAATTTAAGATCCATATCATGACAAAGTTTGAAACTTCCAGTATATAGCATAGGTTTTCATCTATGTGAGGTCTGGTCCACAAAACATGATATTATTAATCGATTTGTTATTTTTTCTGGGGCCAGAAAATTCCAAACTGGCACGCCTGTGCATGTGCGCACGCTGGGGCGCCGGAAACCCAAAGACCAGCTGGCTGGTTCGTGCATGCCTGTTTTTTGGGCGTTTTTCTGGCTGGAAAAATTATCTAAAAATGGTCTGAAAACAGCCCGAAAAACAACCTAAAAAATCACCTGTTTTTCAGGCTTTTTTCGGGCTATTTTCTGGCGCTCCAGCACGCGAAGATCAGGTGGCAGGGGGGGGAAACCCCCCAGAAGAGCAGCTGGTGATGGCACGCATATCCACAGAGAGGGCTTTGCATGCCACCTCTGGCACGCATGCCATAGGTTCGCCATCACGGCTATATGTTGTTACACCAGCATTCAGAAAGATTCTGAAAAACCCTGTTGAATCAAGTCCATTATACACCACCTTATTGTAACCTGCCCCAACTACTTTTAAAATTAAATAAGATGCTGAATCATTGAAACACAAATCCCATACTTCATTAGCTTTGACTAGACTTAGAAGTCTAAGGTCAATCAAATGTTTAATTCAAAAAAAGAGCTACTTTACATTTGGAAAGCAAATACAATTCTTTCTTTCTTACATCAATTTATGCATTCTGTGTTCAGAAATCAAATGTTGAATTGCTCCAGGAGTTATTAAGACAGCAGAAGATGAAAGATTAGATTTATCATAGCAGATAGTGGATTATGAAGAATAATTCATCAAATGTCAGAACAAACCGTTCACAATTTATAGAGACCAAGTTTATGAAATCTGAT